ACTGCCGCAGCAGTCATTATCTGTATTTTACACTGCCGCAGCAGCGCTTGCATCCGCAGAAGCCATTTTTTTTTTCTTTCCAGATGCCGTAGTAGTTCCCACTCCCACAGGGGTTTTCTTTTCAGATGCCGCAGCAGCACTCGCTTCCGCAGAAGCCAGGTTTCTTTTCAGATGCCGTAGCAGTTCCCACTCCCACAGGAGTTTTCTTTTTCAGATGCCGCAGCAGCGCCCGCTTCCGCAGAAGCCTCTAGTTCTCTCTTGTAAGCCTCAGCAGTGCCGCTACTACAAGCGATGTCCAGCACCCCATCAATTTTAAGTTTTGCAAATTTTGGGGGGTTATCAATGCTCCTCTCTGGCTGCTGTTCCGTACTAATTGCATCTTTGGGGGAGCGCTTCGGGTCCGGGCTCAGACCCGAGCTCGGACCCCTCTCCCCGGACAGGGGGAGTACCCCGGGCTCGAGAGTAATGACCGAGCTCGGAGCCCTCTCCCCGGACAGCACGCCAAATACGCATAACCTTTACTCTGTTCATTATATGTAAGTGTGAACTCGTGAAGTGATGTTTCATTAACAAGTTTCGGGAGGAGCACGCGCAGATAATTAACACGGCCAGTTCATCATCAGTAATTACACCATCTATCCAATCAGCACAAGAGAGAACCTCTATAAATAATCAAAGCAGCCTTACCTCCATTATCTCTAGACTTTCAGCATCCCTCCACCACCCCGACTCCTCACCTTCAGCCCGTTCCTACCCCAGCACGGGGAGGAACACTCGGTGGGGGAGCGCTTCGGGTCCGGGCTTAAACCCGAGCTCGGACCCCTCTCCCCGGACAGCACGCCAAATACGCATAACCTTTACTCTGTTCATTATATGTAAGTGTGAACTCGTGAAGTGATGTTTTATTAACAAATTTCGGGAGGAGCACGCGCAGATAATTAACACGGCCAGTCCATCATCAGTAATTACACCATCTATCCAATCATGGGGTTGCTTCTCAGCCAAGGGAGTGGGCTCACTCACAATTTTGCCTAAGAACACAGCCATGAATAAAGAATTGTACAAAAACATCCTCAGAGAGCAACTTCTCCCAACCATCCAAGAAAAGTTTGGTAAGGAACAATGCCTTTTCCAGCATGCTGGAGCACCTTGCCATAAGGCAAAAGTGATAACTAAGTGGCTCGGGGAACAAAACATCAAAATTTTGGGTCCATGGCCAGGAAACTCCCCATTGAGAACTTGTGGTCAATCCTCAAGAGGCGGGTGGACAAACAAAAACCCACAGATTCTGACAAACTCCAAGCATTGATTATGCAAGAATGGGCTGCCGTCAGTCAGGATGTAGCCAAGAAGTTGATTGACAGCATGCCAGGGTGAATTGCAGAGGTCTTGAAAAAGAAGGGTCAACACTGCAAATACTGAGTCTTTGCATAAACTTATTGTAATTGTCAATAAAAGCCTGAAACACTTATGAAATTCTTGTAATTATACTTCAGTATACCATAGTAACATCTGACAAAAAGATCTAAAAACACTAGCAGCAGACTTTGTGAAAATTAATATTTGTGTCATTCTCAAAGCTTTTGGCCACGGCTGTACTCAACCGCGGATGAGCACGGATGGACGAGTTCGGCACATACACAGTACCACCTAGTGGACTCTGCAGACCGTCTGCACGGACACCAAAATTGGGCTGCACGCGGACGTTGTGTATGGATGTCCACAGACACTTCTGATGATGAAAATTGCATTATGCGGAACACGGACCGCTGAAGTATACTTTGGGCATTAAATATATCTTTGATATATCTTTGGTATATTTGAGCCAAACTGGCAATTTTATCCTTTAGCTTCATGATGGTAGACATTTGCTTTTGTTCGCATTGCGATTTAGATTTGTCAGTGCCCTGCAAACTCATAGAGTGTTTTTCAGCGTTGTTGGTAATATGACTTTTGTTTCGTTTATGATTTTAAATTTTTTTTTCTCACCACTTCCTTTATAACTTTCTGTTTGGCTTCATGGAAATTCTGTGGTATGTGCTGTTTTAATTTTATTGCCAAGTGTACAGCATAATATATGCCTGTAAAGTTTTTTTTTGTAAATTTTACACACAGCAATATAAACAAAATATTTACAGGCATTTTCTTTGGTAGTCTGCAATACATGCTCAGGAGATCGCAAATCTGGAAGGCACAGTTGCAGAGATGCAGGCTGACTTCGAAAAAACCCTAAATGCCAACGTTGCTTCTCAGAAAGACTTGCAGGACAGCCTGGTATCTGCTAAACATGATCTGCTCCGTGTCCAGGAGCAACTTTCCCTTGCTGAGAAGGTACACTGATTCAGCACTGTAGCACTTATCAGACACTAATCTGAATGTCTGACCTGACTGTTCACACTGAGATCACATTGCAAAAAATGGATACATATTCAGTTTAGTTCCACATATGAAGGTCAACTTTAACTTGAAAATACTATTGAAAGTCTCGTTTACAAACCTATTGGATTCATTATTTCAAATAATTTATTTACATAATAAATAAATTATTATTAATAACAGTAATTATTATTGTTCATATTTATTGTTTATAAATGTATATGTTTATAAACAAATAGGTTAATGTGTTTGATGAATCATATCATGTTAATTTATCCATTAAGGAACTGGAGAAGAAATTTCAGCAGACGGCTGCTTACCGTAACATGAAAGAGATCCTCACTAAAAAGAATGAACAGATAAAAGATCTGAGAAAGAGATTACAAAGGTACAGTATAACTTTGTATGTTATGACCATCACTGAAATGTTGTGAGAAACTACCATTGGTTTCAATTAAATATATTTATGAATTTGTTGCATTATATTCCCTCCTCAGGTATGAATCAGATGAGTGAATGTTTAACCCACAAGGACACACATGAAGAGGTCAGCAGATTATCACTACTGGATCTGATGTATCAGCTACACCTTGTATGGTTTAATGGTTTACAGTGGATTGGAAATATTATTTGGACACGACACTGCAATTACTTATTCATCACCTATCTGTATTCTTCAGTGTTTACGGCTGGTTACCTGAGAGGAGGTTTTTGCAAGTACCCTCATATTTTTTGTGGGTTCACTTTGCTTAAGAGGAAACGTGTTGCCCATAGCTTTGCTCCCTTCTTTCCTGGAAGAATACAGCTCAACACTGTTGTCAAATTCTTGTTTCTGGGTACAAAATACATTGTTTCAAAGAACTACATATTTGTGCATTATAATAATTATTATTTCTTTCTGTTTTATGTTTGTGTGCATACATTAATCTCATCTGCTAGGAGCTTTAGCTGTTGCCACAAGTATATAACCTATACAAAAATTTGTGTGTATATAATTTTATAATTAAGGACAGCCCCAGAGAGAGAGAGAGAGAGAAGTGATGTGTGGCCAAGTATGGTGACCCATACTCGGAATTTGTGCTCTGCATTTAACCCATACAAGTGCACACACAGTAGTGAACACACACACACACACACACACACACCGTGAAACACACCTGGAGCAGTGGGCAGCCATATTGCTGCAGCGCCCGGGGAGCATTTGGGGGTTGCTCAAGGGTCTCACCTCAGTCGTAGTATTGAGGGTGGAAGAGAGCGATGGTTATTCACTCCCCCCACCAACAATGCCTGCTGGACCTGAGACTCAAACTCACAACCTTCTGGTTACAAGTCCGACTCTCTAACCATTAGGTCACGACTGTGTAATGCATTATATATACAGGCATCAAAAAAGGTTTTTTTTTTTATTTAAAAAATGTTTGTAGTGAAAGGAATAGTTAACCCTAAAATGAAAATGTACTCGCCCTCAAGATGTAGGATAAATTTAGCATTACATCACTTGCACATTCTCCTTTGCAGTAAATGGGTGTCGTCAGAATAATAGCTCAAACAGCTGATAAAAACATCACAATAATCCACATGTAATCCAAATGACTCCAGTCGATCTATTAATGTCTTGTGGAGTAAAAAGCATGTTTATAAGAAATAAATCCATCAAGGGATTTTACCTTTAAACCATTGCTTCTGGCCAAAAACGAGTGCATAATCGATAAAAATGCTTCCTCCAATTAAAAAGTCCACCCCCTTTTGTCCTCTCATATCAAAGTCATTCAACATGTTTGTTTATAACTGTTTTAGCCTGTCTTCATTTGTAAACAGTGTTTGATCTGTGTATATTTCTCTCATGATTCAAACGAGATGACTTTTTCACCGGGGAAACCAATATTATGGACAGTTATTGACTCGTTTGAATTTAAAAGGAATTAATGATGGAATTGTTTCTTACAAACACACAGCTTCATAAGATGTTATCTGTTGAATTGGAGTCGGATTACTTGTTGTTTAATGTTAATTATTTTGTTTTATTTTCTTGACTAATTGACTAACCGAATGACTGTACTTTTGTTAAAAATGTTTATTGCCATTTTGACTGGCATTACAATGGGGCTCCAGTCCACATACTTTGTGTTGATCTTTACTCATCATATTACATTGAATCTTTTGAAATATTTTGTGAACAGATGTCTTTACATCAGTGGAGACCCCAGTGCTTTAAAATGTTTCCTATATAGCACATTCATTGTATATTTATATATCCACAGCATATTTTTGTAAGGCCTATGTCCTTTTCCCTTCAATCAGAAAGCATCACTGGAACAGCAGTGTATGGGTGATATGACTCGGTGGTTGGGGTCTTTTATCTTGTGAATATTCTAGCAATGTAATATTAGTGTGAAATGTAATTGTTCACATGAGCTCATAAAGTCTGTTCTAGCTCATAGATCTATCTAATGTCTTATGTTGGCATCATTTGCTTGCACAGGCATAGTCTTTAAAAAGGAAAGAGGAAATTCATTGTGAGGTGAGAGAATGTTCACATTGTTTTGATCATGCAATATTAAGGACGAAAGATATTTAGTTACTTCTTGATGTGACCAACACTTTAAATCTGCCTGTTTATATAATCATACATGTGTTCATTTGGCTTAAAGAAACAAAACTTTGTGAAAGCATGATGTCTGTTATGTTTCAGAAGTTTTTTTCTATTGTATTGTGAAGGGTGATTCTATAGTATGGTGATCCTGACTATGCAGCAGCATAGGTGGGAGGGGTTTTTCATCAAAGTTCCCCAAAGTTTGTCTGTGGTTGATTTTGAGTGTGGCATTCTTATTATAGCTTGCACAGTATGATATAGCACCAGCCTTAAAATATTTTTTGGTATGGTTAAAAAGAGTAGCCAGTGGTAAATTCCTTGATGTTTGTAGTAAATGTTTATAGTGAATCTCTCAAAGCCACTGTCTTTAAGTAACCCAGTGCTTTCCTGATTTATAATATGAGTGCACATGGGTATTCATGGATCTGTATGAACTACGAATAGGTTTGTATGAGCAGTGGTGTGTATCTGTATTAGTTCAAAGTCTTTAAACTGAACCCACAAAACCTATTTAATGTCACTACAGATTGGAGATTTATTAGACGTGGAAATATTTAATAACTGAACTGCATTTAATATTTTTTAAAGATTATATAAATTGTTTTCTTTTAAGTGCAAGATTAATTCATAAAACTAAGATGGAGAACTTAATAAGGTACTTATTCAAACTTTTAGTGAGTTTTTTTTTGCCCTGACCTTCAACCTTGTACTATTAAAACCCTGAAACATTTTGTATATAAAACAGATTTTGGCTGAAAGGCCTTTTCATGAAGTAAAGGTTCTATTCTGTAATGTTAATATTAATTATACACTGTCAGAATTAAAAGGTTGCATTTTATGCATGCAACAGCCTTTCACTGGCAGTCCCTTATGAAAATGAACCATGGTTTTACTAAAGTGACCGTAGTTCAACTATAGTATTTGTAGATTTCAATTGTTACCACTACACTAAACATATGTTAACCTTGTGTAAACAAAAATATAACCTAATAAGTTGCAATTAAGGAATATTGAATGTTAAAATGCTTTTGAAATATCAAGTTACCAATTTTACTCTTAGTAATTTAATAATTTAATAAATTTCATTATTTAAAAGTTCAGTTTAGAAGTATCGTATCGGTATCGATATAGACAATACTGGCCTTTAAAAGTATCAGTATCGTATCGAAAACAAAATAAGTGGTATTGCCCATCCCTAGTTGGATTGTTTTCCCCCCATGGTGTGGGCGTGGCCTAAATGCGCTCTGTCTCGGTGCATTCCAAATGGGATATATCGCCCTTCGAAGGGCACTTCGGAGTGAAAACAATCATGGCCGCCATATTGAAGGGTCGTTCCAAACCAAAGTGCTAAAAACTGGCCACTTCAAAGAGCCCTTCGGAATGAAGGATTTCGAAGGGTACAACTGATGGACACCTCAGGCTCCCATGATCCTTTGCACAGGGTAGTTGTTTGGCGTCACAGAGTTGACTTCACCGATAAATGTATGCATAGTATTTTTCTATGCTATATTTATACGAGTTCGATTTGGTACATTATTATGGTCAAAATAACATTGTACTTCAACAAAAATACTTTACAGCTACCTTTATCAGTCCATTCAAATGTTTCAAATACATAGACACAATATACATTACAAATACATATTACATTACATTCACAAATAAATATTATATTTAACGTAAAAGACGTAACGTAAAATGTGCGACGAAGGCGCCTCCTTGATCGTCTCGTTAAGGTGACACAGAAGTTCTCTCACTCCGGAGGGTAAACCCTTTGAAGGGATTAGGGCACAGGGATATGAGCCCTTCCGAATGGAACGCAGGGTCTATGGGGCTATAGGGGTTATGCACAACAGATTTCCGTATTCTGTTAACCGGGTTTCGTCGCTTCCGGTTCAAGCATTTTGCATGTGCTTCGTTAAATATGAAGCAGTTTTTCTCAAGATGTCTTCAAAGTAGATAACAATGATGATCATAACCAATGTCCATCACATGCGGACTAATATCTAAAAGCTTTTTATTTTTATTCTTTTCACTAACATTTAAAAACTTGAATAAATGTCAACAATAAAAATAGCTAGCTAGTTTAGCTGATTATCTTAAAAGTCCATAAATAATCGCTATTATTTAATACGGCTGTTAACACGTTCTTCAACAATCGGAAGCGATGAGACCTGTTTTCCGGGTTTGGTCAGGTGACGTTCGACACCACTATTCAAAGCCAATAGAAGGCAAGCCTGCAACCTTTAGCCAAAAAAGCATAACGGCTAATGCTAATGCCTTCGCTTTGGCAGTGTAACGTAGGAGGATCCAAATGCAGCTTTATTTAAAAGAGTGGTCAAAACAGGCAGGGTCAAACACCAGCAAACAGGTACAATCCAGGGCGAGACAGGATTATTATATTATTTTAATCCATAAAACAGGCAAGGGTCAGGGCAGGCAGCAAACAATCAGACACCAGAAACAGTCCAGGGTCAAAAACAAGGCAAGGCAAGAAGGAACTAGGGAAACACAGGAACTTGGGAACACTACAGGCTAGACAATACACATTGTGAGTGTGTGTATGTGCATCTTTCATAGTGTCACTGATGGGAAACAGGTGTGAGTGTGATAAGGAGTTCCTAGACAGGGGTTATGGGAAATGTAGTCCGGGGTAGAGTGGCAAGAGTCAGGGGTGGAGTGCCCTCTGGTGGAGTTCATGGGCACTTTCAGCTGGAGATCATGACAGAGCTCCCCCCTTAAGGAGCAGCTTCCAGATGCTCCTAAACAAGAACAGAAATGAGTCCAGGAGGGAGGTGGAGTGGAGGTGGAACAGGGGGAGGCATGGAGGGCCAGGTCCATGTGGAAGTGGGGGAACTGGGGACTGAGGCAAAGCCAGCAGAGCAGGGTACCAAGGCAGAGCAGGCGAGGCAGGATGCCAGGGCGGAGCCGGCAGAGCAGGGAGCCAGGGCGGAGCCTGCAGAGCTAAAGACCACCACAGCAAAGCAGACAGGACCGAAGATCCCCATGGCAGCGCAGACGACCACCACAGCAGAGTGGATGGGATCGAAGACCCCCACGGTGGAGCAGATGACCACCACAGTAGAGCAGACGAGACCGAGGATCCCCACGGTGGAGCAGATGACCACCAGTGTGGAGCTGATGGAGCAGGGAACCACCACGGCAGATCAGGCTGGACTGGAATAAAAAACACAGAGAGTTCGCTGCCTCTGGAGGTTCTGCAGCACAAGCTGCCACCTCGGTAGGAGCTGGAGCAGACGCCGCCGCTTCGGGAG